ATATAAATTGGAATATAGTATTATATATTTTTATACATACTGCTACATACATCAAAATAAGTATCGAATAAATAAAATAAATATGATACTGTAGATTATATAATTGTTTATATTGATATTGCATATTAAATAATTATGTTAGAATATAGTATTGAATATTTTACGCACTATTATAAAATTGTGCATTTATATTTTATCCAAAAATATAAATGCATAATTTTATAGTAATACGTAAATATATTTTATAATTGGATAATTATTGAATTATTTGTGAATTAGTTCTTCCACAAAATAAAAATGAATCTTCATATAAAGAATTCTGTGTAAACTTATAATTATTCTTTTCAATATGTTATAAATATGATTTAAATATGCACCGTCATATAAAATTCACCTATTTTGGTATTTGTTAAAAAAATTGCTCGCTAAAAATTAGGAAATTTTATTTTATTATTCAAAGAATTTCGAAAAAAAAAGTATAATTTCATGGAAAAAAATTCGCTAAATGATCGTAAATTAAGCAGTTAAGCAGCATTTTATTTATTTTTAAAATAATATGAAACTGTAGCAGACTTCAATATCTTGCTCAATTTGACGTCCCGCAATTGTTGCATATTCGATTGTGAAAATATTTAATTGATTTGTTGGAAGTGATCCAATAATATTTTTCACGGCTGTTTTATCAATTTTCTTCTTTTCATTTAATATTTTTTTCACTTCCTATAAAAAAAAAAAGAATGAAGTATTTTGTTATTATTCAAATTTTTCCATATCATAAAATTAACATATTCATTTCTAAGTTTTATTTGTCGAAAAATGTATTGGAGCATAATTAATTAATGATAATCACAATTATCAAAAACTTACTTGTTTAATTTTTTCTCGATCAATGATATCGTTATTGTTTATTGCGGTGACCGATTTTTGAATAACGGTCAACAAAATATCCCTGAGGTCATCACTGTTTATACGTGCAGCTATATCAGTTTCCAGTTTATTTCCCAAGATGATTTGATATTGATTTTTGATTGCAGTTAATTCCAAATTAGTCCGTGAACAAAGAATTTCGATTAATAATGGCTCATTGATATTTGTTCCCTGAAATTAATAAATATCAGTAATCAATATGGTATGTTAATAGTTAAGTATGGAAAATGGAATTCATGAATAAAGATATAGGAATTTCTTAATTGGTGTTAATTAATTGAATTTGATTAATGGAATTGAAATAAGAAAGTCGTAGAAGTAGTACATGCTTTATGGGACTATATTATGAGAGTAAAAAATTTAGAATGATTTATAATCACCGAGTAAGAATTTAGGTATGAAATTCAAATTTTCCAATATTAAATGAACGGAAATTTAAGTAATTGGCTTAATTTACATATATTTCGAGTTAGTTATGTCAGAGATTTACGAAATAACATTGCAAAATTGTATATTTACTTTCTATTATTGTTTACTTTTTCATCACTCTTTTCTTTCACTCAATTCAACCATTTCATTTTATACCTTCAAATTTAAATTTAAATTAAACGAAAATATTTACATATGCTATTAATTACGCTTTTTTCATAATGTATGGCAACATATATCGCCAATATTTGCTGCCTTAGATATAATCATGTAATAATTTCATCAAATTAATTTAACAAAAGTTTTAATTTTAAAATTAAAAATGAAAAACTTACATTAATTGCTTTGATGAGTTGTAAAGTATCATATTTAGTTGGTGTTTCCATAAGTGCCAAAATGATATCTTTACAATCCGGTAATCCATTTATTAAATCAATCATTAAATCTTTATTGTATTTTATCTTATACGGTGTTTTAATCTAAAGAAGAATATTTCAGCGAAATTATTTTTTCAAAATAAAAGTAATTAAAAAGAAGGAAGTGAAAGTAATAAAAAAAAGAAAGAGTGAGAAGAAATGGAATAGAAATAAAAAATAATTTAATTCTTTTTATAACATTCTCTCTTTTTTTTCGAAATTATCTCATTTATCAAAATGATTAAATGATTCAATTAACAGTTCAATTATAACCTACTTATGTGTAGATTCAAATTTTTAGAAATGAAAAAAATAAAAATAAATGAAATATCCAGTGTAATTTTTGCTATCCTAAATTATAAATTAAATTTCAAATTAATACTTTTTAAAACTTCGTTTGGAAAAAGTATTAACTGAAATTTGATTTTTCGTTTTGAGAAGTATTAATCGAAAAATTATTACCATTTGTCGTTGTGCATTGTTAATTTGTATAAGAATGTGAAATATTTGCATTTTATTAGTATCTGTTTTCGATGCTAATAATTTTGCTAATAAATCAGCCGCTTCATTGTCATCAAATGGAAATTTTGCAGCGATTGTTCCACGATTTGTGCTATCTGTTCCGAACATAATTCTTAAATAATTTTTAATTAATAATTGAAAAAGTTATTTCGTATAAAAAAAACCGGCAAAAATTTGCAATTATTTCTTTTTAAATTACATTGTTCAATATTTTCAGCAATTTTAATCATAGCTTATAAATATTGAATTACATTACTTCTTTTTGATTAAATTCTTCAATATTTCTAGCAATTTCAGTACTATCA